GTACAGCAAGGATACGGGTGCGAGCCGCACCACAAAACTGATAACCTCACGGGAGTGGACAGCAAGGACACGGGTACGAGCCGCACCACAAAACTGACGACCTTACAGGAACGGAAAGCAAGGATACGGGTACGAGCCGCACCACAAAACTGACGACCTTACAGGAGTGGACAGCAAGGATACCGGTACGAGCCGCACCACAAAACTGACGATCTTACAGGACGGATGAGGCAGTACTCGGATCAATTTTGGCATTATGTTAAAGAAAGATTGGATCATTTAGGAAATGCAAGGAATCAAAGTACAATATAGATGGCTTGTAGCATGTCATCTTCCCCAGCTCCAAAACGAATCTATTTATTAATCTTTCCCAATTATTTACGGTAAACACTCCTCAAATTATTAGTTATCTTTTCTTGCGCCTCCATCGATTTCTTTGAATTTTTCTACTAAACTCTCGTATGCTGATATGACTCCACCTTTTTGTCCCTATTACTATAGTCCTTGGATTTTACTCGCCAAATGAAAGGAAAACTTTCGTGTAGACTGTAGAGTAATAGATCTCTGGATAAATTCCCGAGAACATTACCTACCGAAAGTCCGCCATTGTCGCCAGACCAATTAAAACCGGGTACACGTTGAATCGGGAAACTGTCCTACCGTCTACACGTTCCGAAGTATTTTCGCAGTTCATCGATATATATGCTCTGGAGCTCAGATATCGCTGCAGCTCAAAATCTCCCAAAACTGCGAATTTTTCCCGTCCAAACTTAACGCTTTATCTGCACCGTTTTGAACTGCGCAGGCAAATCGTTGAGTAAAACTGAGCACGTGGACCGGTCTTTATTCGAGTCATTGGCTCCGCTCGTAGTGTGCGACAGGTGACACTGTCACGGACCATATTTGGGGTCGCAATTCCTTCTCGTTTAGTTTTGTTGGGATCGCTCTGCTTCTTCAGCTCGTGTCGTTCCACAGTAGAATTATGTTCTTGCCACTTCTAATTCCGCGTAAGGACGAGGCTTAATCAGTTCAAAATCTAGGCAAACTTGCAAATATTTTTGCGTTGTTGACGAATATGAAAGTTATAAATTTCTTGGTCTAGAATTAATGTATGGATGTGCTCCGCGCTCTGCTCAATGAACTCCAGTTGCTTTTTATTCATGTCCCCTCTTCGCTGCATCACTCTTCGAGACAACCAATTCGAACTCTGACGTGCAGACGTATTACCAGCAAGAAGAATAAGCTCAAAAGAAGCAGACGAGGCTCGATTCGCGTCATTCCTATCAAAACTAAGCGCAACATCCATGCAGCGCTTCAGAAAATCCCTAATTCAACAGGAATGTAATTCCAGCGGTTGCGATTAGAGGGATTATCTCTTTAACCCTGTTAGGCAATTTTCTTACTTGATTTTTCCTGCGCAATGTGCTTGTATCTCTTTCTCTACGTCCATTACCTCTTTTTGAGGAGCTTGTTCTCTTCAGTGCGTTGTTCCAGTTGGCACTGAACCACAAATCAGGGCTCTGCAACAATTCATGTACTGGAGCACCAAATGGGATGGTACCAATGCGACCGAAGCTTGCTAAAATTAACGGTATCTGGAATTTCCGTAGATACCGGTTCCCGAATTTCGGTAAGAAAAATACTTTCTTCAATCTTAAGTTGGTCCAATGTTTTCCGAATAACCTTGGCTAACTTCGGAACAACTAGCAAGATCCCGTGAAGTCTGCACGCTAAAAAAATATAACTCAGTACCCACAGCAGTGAGTGACAGAGCGCGCATTTTCTCGTCGACGAAAACTTGAGGTCACGGACGGACGGACAGACGGACATGGCGAGCACAGTAGTGCATTTTTTCCATAAATGAGAAAATGCGCTAAAAAGAAACCAATCCAAGATAAACACGAACAGACAAAAATTAGAACTTTGTGTACTGGGGCTCAACTTAATATGCAGGTACGTCGGCACCTCCTCGCAAAGCTTCCGCTCCACTTCGTAATTAACCTTGAATCCCTTGCATAGGATAACTAGAATAAACTTGGCGAGGTCTCTTACGTTTCCCTGTTCAGCTTTACTGAACTCTATGGTGTCCGACAGAAATTCCTCTGCACAACAAATTGAGCAATTTGGCTTTTCAGTCTTCTAGGCTTATTTTGTAGCTGCTGAAGAGGCTCGTCTAAGGGTACGTACACAGTGAAAGCCGGTTGCCAGCGTGCTGGTTACCTGCTGAGGCTGGCGCCTGAAACAAGCGCGAGAGGGTGTTCACAGTGGAAGCAGGAAACCAGCACGCTGGCAACCTGCTTTCACTGTGTGCGTATTAATTAATTAGTGATTATTAATTGAATAATGCGTACTAATTGTCATAATACTAATAGTATCACTAATAGTGATAATTCTAAACTAATAATAATTAGTGCGTATTAATTAATTAATTAGACAGTGATTAATTGATCACTCTCGATGCTCATCATGTTATTTCCTCTCAAAAATCCCTCCAATTGCGTGCAGACTCCTCGCCACCTTTATAAAGTTGTTTGTTTACATGAGAACCTCGACACGACGCCACAAAAGGGCCAAAGAAACAAAGAAAATGGAGGGTTTAAAGGTACAACTAATTCAAAATGACCATATGCCAAGCAGGTTGAGCAGATAAGAATGTGCAGCACATTCCGGTAAATAGGTATAAGCAGGTTGTCGGCAGAAGCCTATTCGTACAGGTTTTCACTGTGAACACTTACATTATTATCCTATGTTCATTCTTGTGGCAGGTTGGAGCAGGTTGCCCGCGCGGGCAAACCTGCTTTCACTGTGTACCCACAGCAAACCGTATGTATGCAGCAATCCGTTTCCTTATGCAGCAAACCGTATGTATGTGCGTGCTCTAGTTTTTGCATAGAACAATTTCAAAATTATACAAAATAAAGATTATTATTCACGGTGAACTGGAAAAGAACAAGTCTACAGGGGGTCTTACATTGATTTGCTTGCTGAGCTCTCACTACAAGAAAACGATCTGAATCAACCTGGCTCGAACCCCATGGTGGAACCGCCTCCACCACTGCCCATTTCACAACAGCTCTCTACACAACCCAACACCATTCTTCTCATGCACCCCAAGTCAACACATCTGTGCTCCCTGGCCAGCAAGAAACTTCACTTGGAACCCACCACCAACAACAACCTGCAAGCCCTCCCAGCCTCAGAAGTCATCACCGACCCATGAGAGCTGGAGCAGAACCACTGTGGGGAAAGGAGTATCCAACAAATGCTTGGTCTTTCCTGGAACATCGCTTCCGACAAATTTATCATTCGCACCAACGTGCCGGAACGTCCCTTCACCAAGAGAGGTGCATTATCGACCTTCCACTCGATTTTCGACCTGCTTGGATTTTCAAGTCCAATTGTTCTTACTGGACGACTAATTCGACGCGCCATCATCTCGACAAAACCATGCACCGTCCAACCTCCTTCGAACGACTGGGGCAATCCATTGCCACCAGATCACCTGGAATCTTGGAAAAACTGGAAAATGAACCTAATTGCAACATCTGGGTTCGCAGTGTCTCGCGGTTACTGCCCCCCTGAATTCGGCGAAGTAAAAAGGCGCGAACTGCACAGGGTGCGAGACGTAAGGACCTACGCTACAAAAACCAAACCTGTACCCAAAATATTAGTTCACGACCCCGGTGGAAGAGACGTATGCGTGCTTCACCCTTCTGCAACGCATCTCCTGAAAGACTGCAAGATTTTTGCAAATAAACCGTTTGAAGATCGACGAAAGATACTTCTTTTGAATGGTCCTTGTTTCCGATGCCTCGGGAAACACAGACAATCTGACTGCAATTAGAAGCTCAAGCGCGACAAATGCAAGCACCCTCGTGCAACCGCAATGCATAAATCTCCAACAGTGAGGCAAACACCGATTGCCCTTGCTAATCCAAACGAACAGCTACAATCCGCGTCGGCACCCATGGAAACATTTCGGCGAATGATCCTCCTGCATTCCCCCTTTACAGTACTGGATTTTCGGGCGGAGAGTGTGCTGGAATAAATTCCAGCATTTGCATTATTATTAGTTTCAGTTTTAATATTATTTTAGTATCCGCGTACACGGACAGTCGCGTTCCAGGTGATTTAGAAATTTTGGCGGTTAGAGAAGCGTCGATCCCTGTTACCGGGATAAACAACGATGTGACACGTAGAGAAATCAAGATTGACGAGTAATTTTATCGTGACTAATTTTTTTCATATTGTAGAAGTGTACTAATAGCAACTGTCTGCAATACGACTGTGAAATCGTTTCTACCTAACATTAATTTGATAGAATTCCCCTGGCCAGTAGCTCAACTTGTCCTATGCAGTATTACTTTGCATATGCGACCTGTATTTTATAAGAATTCTGCTGGTATCAAGTGTGTCTCAGATAACATGAATACATGTATAAGTCAGTCACTTTCTGATAACATTGCATTATTTTCATGTGTAAGTTTGCCTGATTTATCAGTGATATGAGCAGGGATGTTCAAGCATTGTTTACGGTTTCATGATTTTTTATCTCATGATGAACAGCCTGCAAACCATGTTCTGTGTCATTGAATCCGGTTAAACCCTCGTAAATGATTTTGATATCGTCAATTATTGGCATTTTTGCCCTATTTATAACTTGTGTTGTTTTACCCGAGACTTATTTTTGTAACGTAACTAGGCAGTTTGTACTGTGTGTAACCCTGAGCGAAATTTTTCCTTGAAAAAAATATTTCCATGTTGCCGCCTAGATAGCAATTCTAAATAATCCTAAGCGTCTTGAATTGCTCAATCGTTGCCGACTAACGTTTCAGAGGAATTACCATCAAGACTAATTTTAAGTTCTGCCTTCTTACAGTACTCTGTTTTGCAGAGCACGTTATGTGAAGATTGACTGAAAATTAGAAGTACAGTAAGATTAAGAAAATCTGTATTTCATTCACCGAACCATCTGCGGCCTCTGGCATTGAGGCCGCGAGATGTGTGACCCATTGAGGCAACGATATTTATCCTTGAGTTTGTTCCTTGCAGCTATACCAGTTTGCCTCTCAGAGACAATCTCTTGGTTGTCTGGTGTACTTCTTTTCTAGATAAACGGTTTTTTCCCTTTAAATTGTTGAGCTCTTTGCTGGAAGAAAGAAAGCTCGACGTTTTCAAATGTTTCTGCAGTGCTCGGGGCTTAGGATTTTCAATTTTAGGATTTGCGTTCATGTACACACAATTTTTGAACGTAACTTGTTCTGCCTCACGCGACGCTATACCATTAATTATCCTTCCACTGTGGCGGGAGGGTTAACAGGGGCGCCGGGAGAGGGTTGACAGGGGCGCCGGGAGAGGGTTGACAGGCGCCGGGTTGAGAGGAGGGGGAACTTCACTTTAAATCTTTAAAATCTTCATCTTTTAAAAAGTAATATCTACGATATGCCGATTGCTCAGACTGTGGCACTGCAATTAAAAGGTCCGTTACAGCTTCAAGCGAGTGCGGCGAAAGCGTGTACAGGCCGCCGGCGGAGCATAGGCTCTGGCGGCCGCAATTTGTCTTCATGGATGTATCGGCCCCACCATGGACATCGTAGGCGCTGCACATCCGAAAACAAGTTTACAAGAGGGTACACACCCAGAAACATGTTTATCTTATATATGAGCAAATATAAGACCATATGAGCATCATTATCACATCTGTTGAGGACCTTAGCATTGTTGTCGAGGTCCTAGCCACACACCAGGGGCTGGCTCGGCCGTGGCGAAAGGTTCGCTGTGGAGGCTCTCGTGCGGGCGTGAGCTGCGTCACATTCCTGTTGGCAAGGATATTCACGCTAATCAATCGCATCGCAAGCATATATCCTTATACAATCTGATGTCTCCTTTGTAGTTCTCCCTAGCACGATTCTCACTGGTAATTCAAGACGGTTATAACCGTCATAAAAACTGGCATATTTAAACTTAAGGCAGCCAAATCTGTTTGGAAAGTCAATCTCTTGCCTCCTATTGCACGTATTCAAAGGTCGTGGTAATATTAGGTGAACTACGGCATGCAATATATACTAGCCAGTCAATAGCAATAGTTAATACTGGTGCACACTTACATGGTCAAGATGAGGAGCTTCGCATTCTTGGCGCCAATAGCGGAGCCCAGCTGGAGAGTGGTGACTAATAATCCCTGGGTCCTACGAAAGATGCGTTTGAAGACTTCTTATCTTCAGTCGTACTCGGAGAAGCGCGGCGACTCAAAACTAACAACGGGATAGTGAGAAAGCGACTCGACTGATTACAGTCGTCAAAAGTTGTATTTATAAAAAGGGACAAAGGATGAAATGCATGTGCGTCGTTTAATAAATAATTACATGGAACAAATAATAATGAATAATAAATATAACTAGCTGTAAGTGAGAACTCTCAGATCGAAGATGAAGACAAGATGGTTCGGCTGGGCCAACCGTTTAGGCTACCGGCGCTTGCTAGACATGAAGTAGCATTGGTATGGTTGCAGGTCGCACGAAGGTTGAACATTTATTAGGTAGGCAAATTAGGAGTTTGCGGAGGAGCACGTGACTGATGACAGGCGCGTGGTTATTCCAGCTCCATCCTAGCGTTACGAATATTAGTACACGAACGTACGAACGTAATGTTTGTCGCGTCACGAATATTAGTACACGAACGTAATGTTTATCGCGTTACGAATATTAGGACACGAACGTACGAACGTAATGTTTGTCGCGTTATGAATATTAGTACA